TAGAATAGCAATAGCAATAGCAATAGCAGTTAGACTTATATACCGCTTCATAGGGCTTTCAGCCCTCTCTAAGCGGTTTACAGACTCAGCATATCGCCCCCACAGTCTGGGTCCTCATTTCACCCACCTCGGAAGGATGGAAGGCTGAGTCAACCTTGAGCCAGTGAGATTAGAACCGCTGAACTGCAGATAACAGTCAGTTGAAGTGGCCTGCAGTACTGCACCCTAACCACTGCGCCAGCTCGGCTCATAAGTTGCTACCCTGACCCAATATAAAGGGATGAAACCTGATTCACAATAAAGGAGAATGTTTGTAGCTCAGGGTTGAAATGAGGGGGTCCTTGGTGCTCTCTGAGCTTGACTGTTTTCTTGCAGACGTTTCATGGCCAAACTAGGTAACCTCATCAGTGCTAGAAGGGAGTGGGGTTTGTGGAGGAGGAGGAGGAGGAGGAGAAAGAAAAGGTCTGTGGGGTCCTTGGTGCCCTCTGACTTTGTTTCCTTGCAGACATTCCATGAACCAAACTAGATAACCTCATCAGTGCTAGAAGGGAGTGACGTGGAGGAAGACTGTGAGTACCCTGAGCTTGGTTGTTTTCCTGCAAACGTTTCATGACCCAATTAGGAAACATCATTAGTGCAAGAAAGCAGCAAACCCCACATTCCCTTCTATCACTGATGATGTTACCTAGCTGGGTCATGAAACGTCTGCAAGAAAACAACCAAGCTCAGAGAACACCAAGGACACCTCAGTCCTCCTCCTCTCTACAAACCCCACCCCCTTCTTGCATTGATACCTAGTTGGGTGATGAGAGGTCTGCAAGGAAACAACCAAGGGCCTCTCACCTGACCCACAGTTGCAAATGTGACTTTCACCTGCCATCCATGTCATACGGCCTCCGCAGGGCCACGCGCCTCTCCTTGTCGTAGCGCAGCTGCTCATGCTGCCGCCGCAGTTCCTCTCTCTCCCGCTGGATCCGTTCCTGCTCTCGTCTCCGCTCATGCTCAATGTACATCCGTTCTCTCTCCAGCCGCTCCCGCTCCATCTGCTCCTGTTCCAGGCGCGCCCGTTCAAACTCCAGCTTCTCGCGGGTGATCTCCAACCTCTTCCGCTCCTCCTGCTCCCAGATGGCTTGCAAGCGCAAGCGCTGTCTTTCTCGACGGTCGCCGGCGCTGTGAGGCAGAGAAAAGACAGTTGGCTCTGGTCAGCAGGCTGTTTCTGCCTTTCGGCTCCTCCTGTCAGGTTTCCCCATTCGAGGAATGAGCAAGTGAGGAAGCCTAGCCCCCCATTTGGCCACCTTCCTGACGCTGAACTGGCTGGGGAGAAGGAAATGTCACCTCCACTCTCACAAAGGTAGCTTACACACGGAGCCAGTTTGGTATAGTAGTGAAGGTACTAGATTAGAAATCAGGAGGAAGTAAGTTCTGTTCCCACCTTAGGCGTTAAAGACGCCTGGGTGACACTGAGGCAATCACAAGGTGGTGAGTTCTAGTCCCACCTTAGGCAGCAAAAGTGGCTGGTTTCATGTTGGGCCAATCACCAGGAGACTAGGAGTTCTGGTCCCACCTTAGACATGAAAGCTCACAGGGTGACTTTGGACCAATCACCAGAAGATGGTGAGTTCTAATGTGCCTTAGGCATCAAAGTTGGCTGAGTAACTTGGCTAGTCTGTCTCTCTCTGTCTCTGTCTCTCTGTCTCTGTCTCTTTCTCTCTCTCCAACCCACTTCACAAGATGGTTGTTGTGGGGAAAATAAGAGAAAGGAGAATTATGTAAGTTCACTACCTTGAATGGCCTATAAGTAAAATCTAAAAATAAACACAGCAGTATGGCATGGAGTCCCAAGTTCTGTACTTTCTTGATTAGTTATTCTTATTACAATTTTGCTTAAGTACAACAATACAAAAGGTAGGTCTTTTAATATTAGGAGGGCACATCAAAAGATCAGCACTCTAAATTGAGGTTCTCCCAATGTACCAAGCTGCAGAAAATCTTCGACTTAGGATTGCAATTGAGCCTGCAAATTTAGTCCTAAGTCAATATGGTTAAGGGAGTCACTCACATGACTGCGCCCCGTTTTACAACTTTTTTGCAATGGATGCTAAGTGAACGTGGCGGTTGCAAACTGAACACTGGAGTTAAGTGTACCAATTTGCTATGGAGTGTTTTTTGCCAGAAACTGGAAGCAAGTTTTGGAAGAAAAAAAAGGTCACAAATCATGATCATGTAACCATCCAGCGTTGCACGTGACTGTAAAGGCAGGTGAGTTTCACAGCACTCAAAATGCAGTCACATGACCGTGGGGAGGGGACTGGGCCTTTGCAATCTCAAATATGGTTCTTAAGTTTCTTTTGGGAATCCATCATAACTTTAAATGGTCATCAAGCGACCAGTTGTAAGAAGGATTATCTGTACAATGGACATTCCTTATCAGTACAATGGCTAGATATGATAGGAACCAAAGGTGCTTTTTCAAAAAACCAACTGGACTTTGTTTTTTCCTGAAGACACTTCACTTCTGATCCAAGAAGCTTCTTCAGTTCTGACTGAATGGTGGGGAATGGAAGGATTTATATTCCTTGCAGTCCTTAAAACCTTCCGTTCCTCACCATTCAGTGAGACCGGAAGAAGCTTCTTGGATTAGAAGCAAAATGTTTTCAAGGAAAAAAACCAAAGAAAGTCCAGTTGCCTCTTGAAAAAGCACTTTTGAGACAACCATGATCTGGATGTCTGAGAATCTCCCCAGACATTTATGATAGTTTTACTCAAAATAGAGAAATCTGTAAGTACCGTATTTTTCGGAGTATAAGATGCACCGGAATATAAGACGCACCCAGGTTTTGAAGAGGCAATTTTTTTTAAAAAAAAGTAGGTAGATAGAGGGAGAGAAAGAGAAATACAGTATGTAGGTAGGAAGACAGAGTGTGAAGGTAGGTAGGTAGAGGGATAGAGAGAGAGAAATAGAAAGAGATAGAGAAATACGGTAGATAGGTAGGGAGAGAGTGAGTAGGTAGTTAGGTAGGTAGATGTATATGTATATATATATAGAGAGAAATACAGTAGATAGGTATGGAGAGAGAGAGAGTAGGTAGGTAGAGAGATAGAGAGAAATAGAAAGAGAGAGAAATACAATAGATAGGTAGGGAGAGAGTAGGTAGGTAGGTAGATGTTTCCAGGTGTATTTATCCATGTACTGGAGAAGGAAATCACTGATAAACCTTAAGACTTTGTTTCTGCTGGCACAGCACTTGATCAATGTAATTCTCATCAGTTAAAAAGCTTTTCAAAGGGGGGGGGTTGCACTCTGCAAATCTCCAAAAAAACAGTCTGTTTTTTGTGAAAACGGGCCCTTTTTAAAAAAATAAAAGGCATGAATAGCCAGGGGGGGAGGGGGCGCTTGCAGAGTGCTCCTGGGGAGGAAAGAGCAAAAAATGGCCCCTTTTTTGCGAAAACGGGCCTGTTTTTGTCAAAAAAAAATTATGCAAAGCCTTATGGAGGCTTATAGAGTGCTGCTGGGGGAGGGGGGGGGAAAGGCCCATATTTTGCTCATTTCTGCCCTCCCCAGCCCCCAGGAGTTCTCTGAAAGCCTTCATAAGGCTATGCACAGCCATTTTGGTGAAAGGGGCGGGGCTTTGGGAGGCAAAAAATGCTGTATTCGATGTATAAGATGCACCCAGATTTCCAGGTGCGTCTTATACTCCGTAAAATACGGTAAATATGACACAGGTTGTTTTTTTTTAAAAAGGCAAAGAACGTGAACACAACCACAGATCGAGCCCCTTCCTTTAGCCTGTAGGTCTCACCGGTGCTGTTCTTCATTTGGTCGCTTGTCTCTGGTTTTGTTGAATGGTGCGGAGCCTTGTCGCTCTCGGCTCTTTTCTCTGCTCTCTGACTTGCGATCCTGACTTTTCTCACTCTGTATTTCCAAGAGACAGCACAAAGTTGCAACTTCTAACTCATTAAAGGAAGGGTCACGTTTGAAAAGGAAAAGGAAGATCAAGCGAAATGTCTGTCTTTCAGTCTCGGCTCTAGAGGTGGCTCTGCCTCTCTGCTACCCATTGCTTCTTCTCCTGCCCTCAGGTGCTTTGGAGAATAGCTTGCCCCCTCTTCTTTGTGGCAACCCCTGAGATATTGGAAGGCTGCTATCATGTCTCCCCTAGTCCTTCTTTTCATATCCAATTCCTGCAACCATTCTTCATGTTTTCTTTGAGAATCAGGATTATACAATAAATATATATTATAAACGTATATAGCGAACTATCCTAAAAATACGAGTTCCAGGTGTAGCTATAAAAGAAGAGACAGACATTGCGATATTATCCACTTAGCTTTCGTTAGCCTCTGCTAACATTGTCGGTGTAAAATCGACCACTGAAGAGATATTTGCCTTTATACACCATTGATCAATTTGGCCATTGCACGTAACTGCCTCAAGCTGTAATAGACATGAACAATGAGGAACTAGCTGGACAGCTCAGTGTTATTCCCTGGGGATGAGTAGCTCAAGCTGTGCTCAATAAGGGAGGAAGCAACAGGAGCTATGCCTCCATCGATTAACATGTCTGAAGTAAAAACGACATAGCTAATTACAGGTGGGAGGTGGGTGGATGGGCCTATCAGGTGTGCAATGGTCAAATTGATCAATGATGTATAAAGGCAAATATCCCTTCAATGGTAATTTTTATACTCTGATGTTAGCAGCGGCTAACAAAAGCTAAGTGGATAATATATCTTAAGTTCCAGAGATCGCTTAAGACTTACCGGTAATGATCAAAATCAACTTCAATAAAGAATCTTAAAGGTTTCACATTGATCTCCCCATTATGCAGGGTGAAAGGATGTTTACTTCTTAGTATCAAGTTTCCAAAATACAAAGATGGAAAGACACACTTAATTCCCCACAATAGAAGAATGGATGGCAAAAGTTAAGGGGTTGGCAGAGAAAATGGTCGATTTTGACCATTTGAATTAAAGAGAAAAGAATTTATATAGTTTTTGTTTCTGTTTGGAAACCACTGATGGATTTTGTACTCAAATCTGGGGGAAAATTGAAACTCTAATTTTAGCTTTTTATGATTAGAGTGACTTTGTTGTTATAGGCTTGAAGTATTTAGAAAGTAAAAGTAAAAGGTTGAGGCTGTAATTGTTTTCTTTTATTCCACTGTACTTTAAAAGGTTGGAAGTCGTTCCTTTTTTCCGTTCTTTCTTATCTCCTTTTCCACCTTTCTCTCCTTTTAACTTTTGTATTTTACCTATCAATAACCTTTAATGAAACTTTTCGGAATGAAAAAAAAGTTTCCAGGTGTCAAAGTAGATCATCGCATTTCAGTTATCTAATGATTTTTATCTCATTGGTTAAGATTTTTATAAGAGTGGCCAATGAACGCCTCTAAAGATTAAGGGGGGGGGAATCTTGAGGTTTCGATAACTCTGTATAGCAAATGAAAGAGAAACAACGATATAAAACTTCTCAAAGATAAAACAGTAAAACTGTCCTATTTCCTTCTCTTGCTTTCAGAAAATCTGTTAAATAGCAACTGTGACAAGGAAAGCTATTCACTTACTCTTTCTTTTGATCGCGATGTGGTCTTCACCCTGATAACTGGTTCACCCTTGGACTTATCCATTATCACGGTTCTCTCTGTCCCTTTGCCCCCTATGCAAAAGCAAAGAGATTGGATGACAGTCCAACTGATGGCAGAAGCCAGCAGTGAATGGCTTAGGGCAATGTTTCTCAACCGTGGCAACTTTTAAAGATGGGTGGATTTCAACTCCCAGAATTCCCCAACCAGCCCAGAACTTTGGATGTTGAAGTCTTCCCATCTTACAGTTGGCAAGGTTGAAAAACATCGATTTAGGGGTTCCCCCCCCAACTCCAGTTATAAATTACCTGATTTGGGAGTCTTAGATTTATCGGCAGATGAAGATTTCTGCTCCTCTTTCCCCTTTTCGTCTTTTTCATCCATTTTGTTACTATCTTCTTTTGCATCAGATTTTTCATTCTTTTTTGCACTGGAAGCCCTGAAAAAGCAGTCAAGTTCAAAATGTTTAGAGCAGACCTGGGTGTTTTAATTAATTAATTTATATTCCACCTTTATTATTTTATTTATGAACAACTCAAAAGCGGCTAACACATCTAATACTCTTCCCTCCTTCTATTTTCCCCACAACCACCACCCCGTGACGTGGGTTGGGCCGAGTATGACTGCCACATCATCACTGCAGCCATGATTGGAATTTGGGCGCTTGGCAACCAGCTCACACTGACAACTCTTGCAGCATCCTGTGGTCACATGATCAAAATCGGCATCCTTCCCAGCTTTCTTCCGACAAGCGAAACCAATGGGGGAAAACTGGGTGCACTTATCAATTCAGGGTAAAAATGGTCATAAAATTGGTTTTGGCCACATGACTTGTTTAATGACCACACTGCTTAGTAATTGAAATTCTGGTTCCAATGGTGATTTTAAGTTGAGAACTATTTGTAAAGAAGATAACCTAGACCAATGTTTCTCAGCTTTGGCAAGTTTAAGACCTGTTGATTTCTACTTCTACACTTCCTCAGCCAGCCATTTTGGCTGGGGAATACTGGGAGTTGAAGTCCACATGTCTTTAAGTTGCCACGGTTGAGAAACACTGACCTAGATAGAGACATATAAGGTCCAGGCCAATGAGGGGCAAAATATATTTTGGATCAATGGTAGACAATATCTGAAAGTAGCTCAGGCAGACACCTCTGGAATTCACAGCAGTATAAGGGGGAGAATAAACAGCAGACTAAAGTAACAGAATAACAGTGTTGAAACAGACCTAGGAGGTCTTCCTGCTCAAGCAGGAAGCCCTATAGTACCATTTCAAACAGATGACAGTCCAGTCTCTTCTTGAAAGCCTCCAGTGATGAAGGTCCCACAACTTCCAAAGGCAACTTTTGTTCCATGGGTTGATAGCTCTCACTGTCAGAAAATTTCTCCTTATTTCCAGGTTGAATCTCTCCTTGGTCAGTTGTTCCTTATCTGGCCTTCGGGAGCTTTGGGAAATAGCTTGACCCCCTCCTCTCTGTGGTAGCTTCTCCAATATTGGAAAACTGCTATCATGTCACCCCCCCTAGTCTTTCTCTTCACTAGACCAGCCAGGCCCAGTTCCTGCAACCGTTCATGTGTTTTAGTCTCCAGTACCCTAATCATCTTTGTTGCTCTTCTCTGCACTCCTTCTAGAGTCTCCACATCTTTTTTTATATCATAGCAACCAAAAATGGATGCCGGATTCCAAGCCTGGACTTAAAAAGTACACTGACTCTTATCTGATGCCAATTTGCCTTGACCATTAGATCGTCAGATTCTGGTGAATAGATAGCATGAAATACACTCATAATGCTTTTGAACTCTAAGCTGGTGCCTGATTTCCTGCGTCTGACAGTGATTTCTGAAGAGAGTGGGGTAGAGGAACACATCTAATAAACTGAAAAGCAAAACAGGCTGCAGAACTTACCTATCCCCAGAGGACGTTTCAGTCTTCCCCTCACTGTCCTTTTTGTCCAGAAGCTTCCTCGTGGCAGGTTCATTCTTTGCCTGAAATTATATTGCATCATCAGAAAAACTGAAGCGACGGGTTGTTTTCCCACCAGTCTGGGGGCTCGAGGAAGGAGGGAGGCCCCACTTACTCTTTCCACTGAGATTATTTTGCCGTGCAGCTCCGTCTTGTGGCAATGGGCAATGCATTTGGTAGTTTCTTCAGCTGTGGACATTGTCACAAAACCGTAACAGCGAGCCCCCGGGCTACGAGCGTTGGTCACCACCTTGGCACCAACCACCTGGAGAAGAGAAACCACATGTGGTCTTGGGAACTGCTGGCTGAAGATCCATTGCATCCTTCTAAGATCAAGCACCAGGCCAGTGATGGCGAACCTACAGGGCATGTGTCACAGGGGACATGCCATGCCATTTTATGGTGACAGGCAAGGTCTCCCGACTCTCTGGAAGTTGTGCGAGCAGGCCTTGCTCTCACGCAGCCTCTGAAAATGGCACAAGCGTTGTCGTGTTATTTTCTGAGGGTACCCTTGGATGGTGTCTGAGAAGATCTGGAAAGTCCAGAGAGGAGGTTCAAGGGGGCCTATTTTGTCCAGGGTGAGGGTGAAGTGTAGGACACGCCAGCAGAGGCTAGGTGGGCATTTTCTGAATTTTTGACACAGTGAGTCCAAAAGGTTTACAGTCACTGAACTAACCTTTACCAGTCAGGAGGAACAGAGACAATAATTTCACCTTGTCAGCCAGCCCCTCTCCCCAATTTTTTTTTAAATGTACAGATAGTCTTTGACTTACAACCACAACTGAGCCCAAAATTTCCATTGCTGAGCCAGACATTAAAGTGAATTTTGCCCCACTTTACGACTTTTCTTGCCACATTTTGTTAAGGGAATCCCTGCGGGCTCTTAAGTTAGTAACATGGTTGTTAAAGTGAATCTGGCTTCCCCACTCACTTTGCTTGTCAGAAAGTGACAAAAGGGGGATCGCTTGACCTCAGGACGCTGCAACCATCATAAATGCATGTCAGCGGCCAAGCATCTGGATTTTGATCACGTGACTGTGGGGAGGCTGCAATGATCATGTCAAAAATGGTCCCAAGTCACTTTTTTTCAGTGGCATAACTTTGAACAGTAGCCAAATTAAGTGAAAGACTATCATATAGGGTATCATTATTCACTGTTCTGCCAACTATCATAGCTTCTGCTACTGGTCAATCTCTCTAACCACCTTTTTAAAAATATCAGTTGAGGCCTTACAGTCTGGGAGGTTGGGGGGGAACGGGGGCAGATGGTCAATTATTTCTACATAGCAAAAAAAGAAGAAAACAACTCCCATGCCCAGATTTATTCCCAAAAGCTGAGGATAAAAAAATATCTACATGTAATTTTCTAAATGGAAAGATTCTTGATTTAAAAAGCTTTGGGGATTGGGGGGGGGACGACACACCTGTGTTGTTGTAATGGAATGGAGAGTCCTGGTGGTACAGGGGTTAGAGTGCAGTACTGCAGGCTAACTCTGCTGACAGCCGATTGCCAGCAGTTCGGCAGTTCAAATCGCACCGGCTCAAGGTGAGCCATCCATCCTTCTGAGATGGGTAAAATGAGGACCCAGATTGTTGGGGGTACTGCGCTGACTCTGTAAACCGCTTAGAGAGGACTGTAAAAGCACTGTGAAACGTTGTATAAGCCTAAGTGCTATTGCTGTTGCAGGCAAACCCTGCCCACTGCCAGGAGTTCAATCCTCATTGGCTCAAGGTGGACTCAACCTTCCGTCCTTCCGAGGTCAGTCAAACAAAGACTCAGATTGTTGAGGGGACAATATGCAAATGATATTTCTACATTGTAAACTGCCGCAAGAGTGCTGTAAAGCAGGAGTACCCTGACTCCATGCTGCGGATGGGTACCAATTCGCGGCCTGTTGGGAACCAGTCCACCCATGTGGTGGGCAAGCGCACCAAACTTTATTTGCGCATGTGCAGGATTAGGTTGCGTGCAGAAAGCCATCCCCTTTTTCTCCCCCACTGCCAGTCTTTGGAGCCAAAACAGTTGTGGACCGCTGCTGTAAAGCATTATGGGGCAGTATATAAGACCAAATGCTGTTTATATGGCTAGTATCCTGACAGAGGGCATGAACTGGTGTTACACCAAGGCCCTTGCGTTAGAAGGGAGATAAAAGGAACCTGTAACCAAACGGATCATCTTTGGACTTAAGGAAGAAATAGAAACAGCCTTACTTTCCCATATTTGCTAAAGAGGTTCTTCAGGTCAGTTGCTCGGGTACTGGAAGCAAGACCACTGACCCAGAAGTTCCGACCGGTGCTAGTGCTACTGTGACCTAGTTGGGAATAGAAAACGAAAGCATGTGACAAGGTGCAAGGTGAGCAGTCCAGCCGCTCTCTCTGTTGCCCATCCTTTCAAAGGAACACAACTCCAGAAAAATATCTTTTATGTTCCACTAAAAGCTGTTCTCAACTCAAGGGGATTGGCTCACCCCACCCATGCCAGCAGAAGGGGCATGCTGTTGGTCAAAAGACCCCAGTCGGCAGGATCCAGAAGAGCCTTTTCTGCCATGGCTCCCATCCTCTTGAAACATCATGTCCCGTGAGGTGAGATTTGCCCCCAACCCTCTTCGCTTTGCAGAAGGGCCTTGACACCTGGCTCTTGGGGCAACTCACTCTGGAAGTGGTTAATGGATTCAGAGAAGACTCCTACCCTCCACCCCATTATCTGTTTTTTCCTTCCTTGGCTGTTTTTTGTTTTAATATCTATCATTTTGTTTTCTATTGTTTTTTTTATCTTGTAAGTCACTAGATGGTGAGATGAATAGAATATAATACAATGGAATGGAATAGAATAACAGTTGGAAGAGACCTTGGAGGTCTTCTAGTCCAACTGCCTGCTTAGGCAGGAAACCCTATACCATTTTGGACAAACTGTTGTCCAATCTCTTCTTAAAAACTTCCAGTGTTGGAGCATTTACAACTTCTGGAAGCAAGTTGTTCCACTGATTAATTGTTCTAACTGTCAGGACATTTCTCCTTAGTTCTATGTTGCTTCACTCCTTGATTAGTTTCCACCCATTGCTATTTGTTTTGCCTTCAGGTGTTTTGGAGAATAGTTTAACTCCCTCTTCTTTGTGACAATCCCTGAGATATCGGAACATGCTATCATGTCTCCCCTGATCCTTCCCTTCACTAGACTAGCCATACCCAATTCTAGCAACCGTTCTTCATATGTTTCAGCCTCCAGTCCCCTAATCCTCTTTGTTGCTCTNAAAAGTAGCCGTGGGACCCGAGTGCGTGGGTGCTGGTGCTGAGGCTGGGCTAATCTCAGAAAGGCCAGGGAGAGATTGGGTCCCCCCCGCCCTCCTCAAACTTTATCCCCTGGGGAATAGGGAGATCAGGGGACCAACCCTGGATCCCTGCCAAATGCAGGGAAGAACCAGGAGAAGGGCCTTCGGCCAATAATGTGGGAGGCGACCTGCTGGTGACTACGGGTGCCTTGGCTGATGACTTGTCCTTGTGCTTAGCGGCCCTATCTGGAGCCGCAGATGAAGCGCAAACCCTATGGCTAGAGGCCCTAATGGTGGCCCTGCCCACCCTAGTGCTGGCCTCGGCGGTCTCAGAGTGCCGCGGGGAAGAGGTAGAAGCCCCAGTACTGCCTCCGGAGGTGGGATGATCCGCCATTATAACTAAGAGGAAGAGAGAGTGAGTTGAAAGGCTCAAGCTCACGTCCAAATATCAGAGTGAATACGCTGCTACAAATAGCGAAGCTAGCCCAGGCTGCTGAGATCGAAAGGACAACCGTGTGTGCTGAAGCGGAATAGTAGCGAACCGACTTCCACAAGCACAGATAAGGCTGTTGACGCATCACCGCAAATCGGGTGCGAACTGCAAGTCGTGCCCCTTCCGGATGCTTTTTTAGCGCGAAAACAAACGGCTCCCAAAATGGCTGCCAGCAGCAAGAACGGCGCGAAATTCAATTTCGCCTCCAAAATGGGCAACGCTCCTTGCCAGAGACCTTCAGCGATCCTGTTATCGTGGCAGTAACATAGCAGCAACAACTGGCGGGGCAGTGGCGAAGCGACGAAGCCACTCTGGGACAGATCACGCTGGATTAAGTGGATCGCGCCCATCCCAACTGGCGCAAGATTGGCAAACCGACTCTCAACCACAAGCGAAATGGTCACAAGCGAAATGGAGAGTGGTGGACATATTCTCATCCACAACATGAACATAAGTCAAACCGCGCGGCTGCAATCCTCTGCAGGCGATAGCTTCCCCGGCCGTGAAAGCCTCAAGAAGCTTGCTGAAAGTTTCCAATGAGGTCGAGGCTAACAGTGAACTGCTGCCCGCCGAAACAGTCAAACAATACGAATTGTGCTTCGCCAATTTCCACAAATAATCAGTCAAACACAGTGAAGAATCCGAAGTTGAAGAATGAGTTAATTTTGTCTATTATCCTAGAGCAAATTATCTTACGTCTCTTTCGGCTGGGCTGAATTAAAAAACTGAACTATCCCAATCAGAGGAGGCGTGGTCAACAATTACATAACTCAGTCTCTAGGCTAATGGACCAAGTTAACCCATGCTTGGACTCCCCAAGCAGCGCACAGGAGAACAAAAGAAGTTTGTTATTTATATACATTAACTAGTTTATATGTTTTATGTGGCCCCAGATAAATCCTCTTCACTCCACGAACTTAACAGTCGTTTTGATAATGAAGCCAAATGGAGAGAGACTACAGTAGTTCTCGACTTACAACAGTTCATTTAGTGACTGTTCAAAGTTACAACAGCACTGGAAAAAGTTGACTAAGGACTGTTTTTGTTATAACCTTTATGATATCCCCATGATCATGTGATCAAAACTCAGATGCTTGGCAACTGACTCATATTTATGACGGTTGTACTGTCCCTGAGGTCATGTGATCCCCTTTTATGACCTTCTGATAAGTGAAGTTAATGGGGAAGCCAGATTCACTCTGTAACTATGTCACTCACTGATCAACGGCAGTGATTCACTTAACAGCTGTGGCTGGAGAGGTCGTAAAATGGGGCAAAACTCACTTAACAAATATCTTACTTAAGAACAGAAATTTTGAACTCAATTGTGGACGTAAGTTGAGGATCATGTGCTTTCTCCCTATCTATCAAAAGCAGAACAATTAAAAAAGGTGACAACATTTATATAAGATTAAATTAAATTTGTGAACTCCTAACTTCGGGGGCAGGTGGATTGTTTGCCTCAATTTAAACAAAAAGGAATACGTGTGGTCCTTGACTTATGACCATAATTGAGTTTGGACTGAAAAAGGTCACATGATTGTAACTTGTTTTTAGACCTTTATTGCAGCGGTCATTAAGTTAATGTGGTGCTTATTAAGAAAATCTGTTTTTATCTGATGAGCATTTCTTTTGCTGGAAACTAGAAGTAAACACTGAAAACCAGCCAAAAAGAAGAAAAAAAAAACCTTTGAAATTTATGGTCACATGATTTGGAATGCTGCAAACAGCCACAATGACCAGTCAGTTGCCAAGTGGCCTAAATTGGCATTATGTACCTTTTGTGGGGGGTCAATAGTAACTTGGTCGTAAAGTGAGGACTACCCATGGTCCACTTTTCTGCAGATACGCTTGAGGTTGAACAAAAAACCTCCCCTAAACAGGGGAAACGAAACGTTCCAGTCGCTGCCTTACCTGTCTAGAGGATGGCCCTGGTACCGTCCGCGTTCCCTGTGATCAAAGTCATGGAACCGTTCCTGGCGGCCGAAATCAGAGCGGTGACGATCGTCCATTGCCATCCGCTTGGCTTCTGGCCAGTAGGGATCATCCCTCCTGCAAGCAACATGAGGTCAAGAGACCAGCCTAAAAAAAACCTCCCCCCCCCCGATCTCCTAGTAGCAATAGCAGTTAGTCTTATATACCGCTTCATAGGGCTTTCAGCTCTCTCTAAGCGGTTTACAGACTCAGCATATCGCCCCCACAGTCTGGGTCCTCATTTCACCC